TGTTTATCCTTCTCCATCCCTTCCTGTGTGGACCTGCAAATACCATCACCATGTCTCCTTTGTGGGGATGAAATCTTGGAGCATCCAAGTGTAGGAGTTTGGGTCGAGCCTTGGTGGATGTGGTGTTCGTTTGGTTGTTTTCTGAGCCCGAAAATTGGTTGTTTGGAGCCCCAAATTCCGACATATACATTTCTCAATCTCTTTCACATGCTCTCCATTGACAGAAAATTAAAAAACGTAGCATCAACAGATTCTCTCCATCTTCCTTCATTGTACGCTCTTTCTGTATTGAAATTTTTAATATATTACTGTTGTGTGTTGATGATTTAGAATTTCAACACATATCATAATGCTATAATAATTTATTTAGTTTCATATAATGATAAGAATATAGCGACAAATAATTGAAAATTTAAGTGTAAAATTAGTAAAGATTATAAATGTTTATTGTAGTTATCTTCTATATATTAAAAGTGGCTATGTAACGGAATTTGTTGTTTTTAACGAAAAAAATAACGGAATTTGTTGTTTTAACGGACTATGTCTTTTTAAACAGGCAGTTGCACATTCTTTCAGTATTTTTATCATAACTTTGTATTCTGATGTCCGATTGAGGCGATTCAAAATGCGTTGGAAAGCTAACTCATCTTGCTACAACTTTAATTCAGACATCATTCTCCAATTCGATCACTTTCTATGCCAAAAATAGGTCTTAATATGAGACTAAAACATCGGAGCATAACTTTTCGGTTGGAAATTGATTTGTGATCATCTTTTGAGTAAATCTGATTCCATTGACATCTTCCTTTATCCAATTAACTCTGAGCACTCTCAAATCTTCATCGTGAGGTTCGGCACAACTTTTAAGTATTTATATTTTAGTCTCCGAACTTTGAATCTCTTACAATTTAGCCATTTCTCCAAATTTGTCGACTTTTGCTTATTTTCTTCGATCTCACCAACTTACATTACAACATCAAAATCACACATCTAATTATTTATCAATTATATAAACATTACATCATTAATTATTTAATTAACCAAAAAAATTACATCTTTATTAATAACAAATTAATTCTTAAACAAAACTATTTAATATAAACTAGGCAAACGTTCATTGCACGTTGCTTGCACCTAGTAATATTGATAAATGTTTATTGTAGTTACAATGTTGTGTAATTAATAAAAAAATTTAGTGCAAATATAATTACCTTATCATTTGGTATTCCATTTTTATCTCAACTTAGGTAACATGAGGATTCATATGTAACTACCAATTAAAATAACCTTTAAATAAGAGTAAATATAACATAAATGCATTAATTTTATTGCGTTGAATATATTATTTATAAATTTTTAGGATATGTGTAAAACAACGGGTTAATTTCACAAATGGTTACTGAAGTTACCTGAAAATTTCAAAACAGTCACTGAAGTTTCAAAGTTTCAGAAACGGTCACTGAAGTTTGAAATTTCTTTCAAAACGGTCACTAAATTTTCAGATTTTTTGGGCAAGTTTGAGGCAATTTTTCGACAACTTCCGACTACCAAAACAGTCGATTTCGGATACCGTTGAAAAGCTCACAATTTCCTCTTCAATTAAGACCAAAAATCTCCCCAAAACTCCAAGTGATTCGGCCGGAATAAATCCACGAAGTCAGCTACCCAAACTGGACAGATTTTCGGACTTTTTTGGTAGCTGACTTCGTGGTTTTATTCCGGCCGAATCTCTTGGAATTATGGGGAGATTTTTGGTGGTAATTGAAGAGGACATTGTGGGCTTTTCAACGATATCCGAAGTCGACGGTTTTGGTAATCGTAAGTTGCCGAAAAATTGCCTCAAACTTGACCAAAAAATCTGAAAATCTGGGTAGATTTTCACAATTTTCGGTTGCCGACTTCGTGGATTTATTCCGGCCGAATNAAAATCTGGGCAGATTTTCACAATTTTCGGTTGCCGACTTCGTGGCTTTATTCCGGCCAAATCACTTGAAGTTTTGGGGGAGATTTTTAGTGGTAATTGAAAAGGACATCGTGGGCTTTCCAATGATATCCGAAATCGGCAGTTTTGGTGGTCAGAAGTTGCCGAAAAATTGGCTCAAACTTGGCCAAAAAATCTGAAAATTCAGCGACTGTTTTGAAAGAAATTTCAAACTTCAGTGACTATTTCTGAAATTTTGAAACTTCAATGACCGTTTTGAAATTTTCAGGTAACTTCAGTGACCATTTGTGAAATTAACCCGTAAAACAACCAAATGAAACAGTCATTTAAATAAGCAAATATGGATGTTATTTTTTCAAACCAACTAATTCAATCGAGTGAAGAAATTAAAGTTATAGTTTTATAATAAAAGTTGTTAAAAAAATTAATATAACATTAAAAAGATTAATTTAGGGAATTATTGATAAATGGAAAAGATAAGGAGTTTTTTTAATTTTCATGTTGAATAAATTGAATTAATGTTATTATTTAATTATTAAAAGACTAAAATTAAATAAGGATATATTGGGCGTATAGCTAAATTTGTAAGAAATTATTGTTATTAATTAATTATTAACAAAACTAAAATTAAATAATAGTATATTGTGTGTATAGCTAAATATGTACTGTTAAATTGTGTATTCAAAAGTTTCTCCCCAATACTCCCTTTTAATATATTGTAGATTACTTATAATCATAGATTTGCTAGATTATTTTGGCTAGACTAGTATAATCACAATTAATTTCTTCATTGGAGCAAATTTTGGACAACTATATTGTCATAATATTGTATGTGCATTGTGTTATATATAATAGCTAATAATGGACTGTTTGATCAGACTCGTACTTTTGCTTTTCGCAAAAGAAATTTTTATCGTAATTGATTTTTAAAGATTAATTTTTAAAAGAGTTTTCTATTTCCAAAAATTCTTTTAAAAGAAATTATATTTGATCAACTTTCTCTAGGAACTCTTATAACATAAGTAAAAACTTCAATAAAATTAACTGAACATGTTAAAAAATAGCTTTTAAGTTTTATAAATATTTCTTTTAACTTCTCAAAAGTCATGTCTGATACGGTCTTTATTATGGACAAAAGTAACCCATCTTCCATAAGGCTTAGTCGAAGATAATATGATAATAATTCTATAAAGATATACTTCAAAACTGTAAACACAAGGTGGTTTTATAGTTTGCAACTCAAGGGCCAATTGCTCTCCATCGACATAAAATTTGTAGTATACAATTCAAAAAGAGATTTTGCTACCCAAATACGTGTTCCAATTGGTATGAACATGAATAGACATACTAACATTTTTCTTCATAAGTTACTTATAAATTTGTCAAATAAAAACTTAGCCAACGTGATCAATGTTTCTTAAATAATAATAGACGAGACTAAACGTGAATATATTTAAGTTCTATCCTATAATATTATTCAATCCTTATCAAACTCATCATTAAAATTTATTTGTCTAAGTGCATTGTACATACCGACTATGCGTATCAACTTGATCGGACTTGTACTTTTGCTAACCGCAAAAGAACTTCCTATCGTAATTATTCTTAAGGATTAATTTTTAAAAAGAGTTTCATATTCCAAAAAAATATCTTAGAGGAAATTATATTGTGTCAAGTTTCTCTAAAAACTCCTATAACATAAATAAAAACTTCTATAAAATTAATTGAATACGTTAAAAAAAAAAAGCCTTTAAGTTTTATAAACATTTCTTTTAACTTTTCAAAAATCATGTCTGGGACTTTATTATGGACAAAAGTAATCCGGCTTTCATAAGGTGGTTTCATAGTTTGGAATGCAAGTGCAACCTAAATACGTATTCCAATTGATATGAACATGAATAGACATACTACTATTCTTCATCATAAATTATTATAGATGTGTCTAATAAAAACTTAACTTATAAAGTGATCAATGTTTCTTAAATACTAGTGGACGAGACTAAACAGTATCGTGAATATGTTTAAGTTCTATCTTATAATGTTATTCAATTCTAATCAAACTCATCATTAAATTTATTTGTCTAAATGCATTGTACATAACTAAAGCTGCTCAAACAGGGTTGGGGACTGGGAAATCAAACAGGGGCTGAAGTGGATGCATCTCAACCCTTGATTTGAAATACAATAATTCAAATCAAGGGTTGAGGTGGATGCACATCATCCCCTGTTTGATTTCCCTGTCCCCACCCCTGTTTGCGCAGCACATCTCCATTGTACATGCCGACTATGCATATCAAATATGTCTAGAAAATTCCCTAGGTTTCTAGAGTCAACCCATTTTCTTCACTTAGTGACAAAACATTTGGATATTTGAGATATGATTGCCAACACCTGCTGAAAACTACCACCCATTTCAAAACGGGGACTTTAATACAAGCTTGCAAAGAACATTTGGCTACCATGGTTTATTTTTTTATTTTTCAATTCGATCATTATCATACTCTATTTCCATATGCAGAAAATGTTTCTATAAATTTATCTCAATATTAATCCTATAAAAGTACATTAATTATTTCCCGAAAAGGAAAAAAATATATATAAAAAAACTTATCACTGAAAACAATAAAATCGTTAAATGCTTGGATTTTTTGCAATTGGGTTGTCGTCTTGCATCCAAAAAGAGGAATCTTTGTGAGTGTCGAGCCCAAGAATTGACTGAAAAGAGCACTGCTTATACATATCCACGTTTGCGTCCACCATTTTTAATCATTTGAGCAGGGAAATAACTCGTGGTGGGAGTAGGTGGGATTGGATGACTGCCATTAAAAAATATATCCTACGGCTAGCAGCAGTGCGCACAGTTGTTGAACCATAAAAACTTTAGTACAGCTCATGGGATGGACATAAAAGAAATTAAATTTGTGTAATAAGAATCTTTTTTCTTGCCAATTGAAAATTCGGTCTTGAAAAGAAACCCGGTCTATATAAGGCGTTTGACACTGATGATTTATCACTTAACAAGTGTAAAATAGCTGTACAACCCACCAGTTAACCAAAAATGGCAGATCCAAATCCACTACTCCAGCAAAGAGAGTATGAGGCGGAGGCCCCAAAACTCGAGAAACAGCTGCCATCCTTAGATGACACAATCGAACAGTGCATCGGAAACTTCGGATGGGGACAGTTCTTCCAAGCCACCCTTATATCCTTCGCCTGGTTTTTCGATGCGCAACAAACATTCATCAGTGTTTTTACTGATGCTGAGCCAAAATGGCACTGCACATCACCGAGCAATTCCACATGCAAAAATATCTGTGAAATCTCTAGGGATTCTTGGGACTGGGATTTGCCTGCTCACACATCCATCATCTCAGAGTGGTCCCTTGAGTGTGCTGGCTCGATCATCACTGGCCTCCCGGCATCGTCATTCTTTTTGGGCTGCCTTGCCGGTGGATTCGTCCTTGCAACCCTAGCGGATTCCTCTTTTGGCCGGAAGAACATGCTTGTTCTATCTTGCATGTTCATGTCTCTAACCGGAATCTTTACCGCACTCTCCACCAACGTATGGATGTATACCGCGTTGAGATTTATCAGTGGTTTTGGCAGGGCAACAATTGGAACCTGTGCTCTTGTTCTTTCGACAGAGCTTGTTGGGAAAAAATGGAGAGGAAATGTTGGGATCGTAGGATTCATCTATTTTACTCTCGGGTTTCTTTCTTTACCGGGGGTGGCTTATCTGATCAGAGGTTTGTCATGGAGACTTCTCTACCTGTGGACTTGCGTTCCATCTGCATTTTACTCAGTGTTCTTGTATTTTCTTGTTCGTGAATCTCCCCGATGGCTTTACGTCAAGGGTCGAAAGGAAGAATTTGCGGAAACACTGAGAAGCATTGCTGCACCGGTTAACCGGAGCAGCTTAACCCAAAGCTTCTTCGGTAGGTGCGTCGAGTGGGAGGAGGAATCTCACGAAACTAACATGTACTCCGCAATGAAGATCTTGTTGCAAAAATCTTGGGCTTTCCAGCGACTAGTGGCGATTATGGTGGTTGCCTTTGGAGTCGGAATGATCTATTACGGCATGCCATTAGGCCTTGGCAACTTGGATTTTGATCTGTACTGGAGTGTCACATTAAACGCATTGTCTGAATTTCCAGCTTCATTTCTAACCTTCTTTCTTATAGAAAAACTAGACCGGAAGGTTTCAGTACTGGGATTGGCTCTATTAAGTGGAATTTGCAGTGTAGCATGCGTGTTGGTTAGGTGGAAGGTGATGCAAATCGGACTGGAGCTGGTGTCGTTTTTCGGCGCGTGCGCTGCATTCGACGTGGTGTTGATTTATAGTTTGGAGTTGTTTCCAACTTGCGTGAGGAACTCGGCGGTATCGATGGTGAGGCAGGCGCTGGTGTTTGGAGGTGTTTTCAGCCCGGTTCTGGTGGCTGCCGGTAGAAAGAATGGACTGCTATCGTATGGAGTGTTCGGCGTAACAATAAGCGTATGTGGGTTTTTCGTGGCATGCCTGCCGGAAACAAGGGGAAGAACATCTTGCGACACCATCGACCAAGAGGAGCGCAAGAATGATGCGATCAATAATAGAGTCGATAATGTATAAATGATCTAATGCTTCATTTCGTATTGTGAACGAGTGTTATGCACAAGAATTTGGCGTCAAATTTCTAGTATATTTTAATAATAATATTCGAAATATAATTGAAAATTTGATAAAAATAATAAATTTCATTAAATTTATATATAAAAATAAATTTTAAAAAATGAGTTATAAAATATTGGTACCAAACGTGCTAAACGACTCAAGAAAAACACCTGATTTCTGGGTTTTTTTAAAAGGAAAAATCAGTGTGTTTCATTTCACCCACTTTTAATAAAATTTACTAAAAATCATGTTTAAAATTTGGAAAGAAAATATAAATTTCAAAATCAAATGGCTTTTTTGTTTAATCCCTACTTCTAACACAGCTTTTAAACCGACAAATGTTTCAATTGATATGAACCACGTGGCCGACTTTGACACTGACTCTCAGTTGTCACTGTTATCAAAACAGCAGTCTGAGTCAGCGAGGATCGCCCGTCCTTAGAAGACACGATTGAATGGAGTATTGGGGACTGTCGGTGGACTCAGTTCTTCCAAGTTCCAAGCCACCCTTGTATCCTTTGCTTGGTTTTTCGATGCACAACAAACCTTTATCAGTGCTTTTACTGATGCTGAGCCAACGCACTTCACCCAGCAATACGCCGTGCAAAAATATCTGCCAAAGTCCAAGAGAATCATGGACATAGGGACTTGCCTGTTTACACTTCCATCATCTCCGAGTTATCTCCGAGTGGTCCCTTGAGTAGTCTGTCTCCATCATCACCAGCATGGGTGGATCATGAATGTATCGTACCGAGGACAAAAATTTTTAAAATTGAATGTACGAATAAAATTTATATATAACTAGAAAAATTGTAATATAACGTTACATATTACAATTGTACCCGACGATGTTTTATAACATAAAATTTATCTATAATAGAATCTAGATCTAAATTAATACTAAATTCTCATTCAATGTTTAATGTTAAACAATCAGCAAAAAAATCATCATATATTCTATTATGAATTTCCGTTTTCACATGTTTCATTGCTGAAAATGCTCGCTCCACTGTCGCTGTTGAAACCGGTAGAGTCAATATTAAACGAATCAATTTAGTCAAAGTGACGTAACTCTCCGACCTTTTACTTGCAACTAATTCCCGACATAAGTCAGAAAGTGTAGGCACTTGAAATCGAAGTTCGGTAATCACATCATTCTTATAATGTTGCAATTCAATTTTCAAACAATAAATATCTTGTTGCCAAAAATTTTCGGGATAAAACTTCTGCACAGACTTGCAGATATTATCCATGTTAAATGATTCAACAGAATTTGTTGGATCCAAAGTCGTACTGAGAGAAATGAGTTCTAATTATGTCTTATTAAATCTTGTATCTAACTCCATCATGTGACAATCTATGACTGCATGGAAAATATCAAAGTGGTAATGATGTTCAACTGTAGGATACTCACGACTACGAGAACGACCAACCATGTAAGAACCATCAAAGTCCGGTATATGTACATCATTTTTTGAGCAAAATAGTTTCACTTCTTCAAGAAATTCTTCCCAATAAGAATTTGTTGGATCCAAAGCCATACTGAGAGAAATGAGTTATAATGATGTCTCATTAAATCTTGTATCTAACTCCATCATCTGACGATCTATGGCTGTATTAAAAATATCAAAGTGGTAATGATGTTCAACTATAGGATACTCACGACCACGAAAACATCCTATATATTCCTATATAAATTGTTATTGACTAAATTTCCAAACTAGCATTTCCTAAAAAAATGCCTAAATCCTAAAGCACAACGGCAAATTACATAGCATATTATCATTTTAGCAACTTAGCAGTAGCAACTAACTAGTCTAATTTTTATCAAACAACTTTTCCAATTTAGCAACTACCAGCCCTTCAATTTCAAATCATTCAATGGAGTATAAATTGTCTAATGTTGCACTGCACACACAAGTGAAGGTTGCAAACATACCTCACTGCAGGCCGCAAATGAAGGTTGAAGTGGTGATTCCAATGAAGCCTGAAGTACAACTGCAGTCTGCACTGCACACACAAGTGAAGGCCAAATCGACCCTAAAAGTTTGAAACAATTACAAAACAACAGTTACAACTTACAACTTACAAGACATTACAATATTGAAAATACCGTACAGTACAAAATTAAGCTAAAAAACACTGACGATAATGCAACTGTCAATAACTTATTTCATACATCACTTAGCTCTACCCCCAATCCCAATCCCCAACAAATATGGTTAAAAATTAAAGAGCAAAAAGGCACATCAATTACACAACACAACCCACAGGCCACAGCCAGCACGATCTAAATTTGAAAGGGTCAAATTCAACTAAACTCAAATTCAATCCCCACATTCCAGTAGACCAAGACACCACACGAAATCACCTGACTACACACGATCTTAAGATTTTGTAAAAGAAAATCACACATGCCCTATTATAAATTCAAACCCCAATTTCAAACCCCAACTATAATGTATATAGAGCAAACGAACGAACATACGCACACAATCCCCTCCCAAACCCACATTGATTGAGGATCACCACAAATCCACATGGTAAATCAATCTCAATGAAAAGAAAAAAAAAACCTCCAATTGAACCCGTGATATCTACATCTCCAAGTACGTATAAACATTCAGTAAAAAACCAAAAAAAAAAAAAATTACCTTGCCCACAGAAGGGTTTCGCCGTTTTAGGTTTGAAAGAGTCTGAGAGAGAGAGAGAGAGAGAGATAGAAAAAGGGTTTCGTCTTTCGCTGTTTGAGAGAGAGAGCACGCAAAGAGGGACGAAGAGTGTGACTTGTGAGAGACAGTAGAGATGGTTTAGCCTTTTAGGTCAATTGGTGGGAATTAGGTTTAATTTTAGGTGGGTTGCAAATTGGGCTTTCAATTTTTCAAATGGACTAGGACAGTGGGCTATTGGATTGGACTTGGACAGTGAGCTATTGGGTTGAAAAGTGGAAACAATTGGACTTTAACCAAATTTTTTTTTTTTTATAGAGGTTGGGCTTGAGGAAGAGTGGGCTAGAACCCACCCCTATCTTTGTCCATGATCACCAGCCTCCCAGCATCATCCTTTCAGAAGAAAATGCACGTAGCTTCATCCTATTGTATGAAAAGACATGCGACCTCATTCTTATGGTCGATGCGTTTTTTCTTAGTGTCATTCCATCAATCATATGTCTGAGAGATATGAATGTTTTTGAAAGTAGGGCCTATGACTAATCTCTAAAAAGTAGACTAGCAATAAGAGGTTAATTGCCTTGGATTTACTATGTAGAAGGTTACATCACCTCCTCTAGACTATGGAGGGTAGGTCTCTATAGGCACCTTGGATGGGGTGATGCATCACTTTGACTACATCAATATATGGCTTCGATTCGATTAGGTAGGATATTGATGTAGAGTGCGGACTTGATTAAGTTTGCTAACTAGTTGTTATGTGACCTATTTTTCTTTAAAAATGAGTTTTGTAATAGTAATTTTATTGGAGAATATATGGTTAAAAAAATAGGAAATTTTTTTATTTTTACGTGTAAAATTTTTTTATTGAAAGAATGTGTAATTAAAAATTGAATATTTAGCGAATGAGGTCAGACAAAGGATAAATTTGTACAATGAAATGGTGTTCAAAATATTGAAAAATAAAAAATAGTTTTAACATGTAAAAGGTTACTTATTGCTGGTTTGGCATAACTTAAAAAACAGTTAAAAAAATTAAGGTCAAAGTTAGCAAATAATTTTAATCAAACATTGTATGAGTCCTCAACTTTTATTATTTTTTCAACCATATATGATTTAACCATTTTCGAAAATTGCTAAATTTTTTTTTATCAAAAACCTTGTCAAACAATCCTAACCCTTGTTTGGTGGGAACTAAAATTAAGATTTTAATATAAATCAAAGTCAATTATTAATTTCAACTACATATTTCACGAATCCCAATTTTTGAACCACACATTTCATTAACTTTTTCAAAATTTGCTAAAAATTTGATTTTAATTTCTATCAAAAAAGGGTTTAATATAATTTAAATAAAGTAATTTGTTATTTTAAATTTTAGAAGGAGATAATATATAAAATATAAATGTTACAACTTATGTAAAGTGCAAATATAATCCATATGTAGGGTTTGTTTTGCAAATTTTCTTTTTATTTGATCACTAGCCTTGCCTCCTTAAAATTGAACCAAAAAGGAACTTTGCCCAAAAATAATAAATAAATAAAAATCATAATGGGCTTGATTTGTTCATTTTGTTTAGGGAAAATTTCACAACTAAGAAGATAAGCATAGCCCATTTTAAAACTAAGAAAACAAGTTTGGAATTTCAAAAATCAGCCTTTTATTAAAATTTATTATGATTTAATTAATTAATTAATTATAATGATATCATAATTATACAATTATTTATGATTTAATTAATTAAATATATATTTAATTAATTAAATATATTAAAGTCACAGAAATATACAATTTGGTCACAGATTCACAATTTAGTTAGTCACGTATTAATTTTCAGTTACAAATTAGAATTTTCATTTTTCAAATTATTTTATGATCATAATTCAAAAACTTTGTAGGTCACAATTTGTTCATCGGTCACAAATTTATAGGTCACGTATTAATTTTCATTCACAAATTAGAATTTTCATTTTTCAAATTATTTTACGATCACAATTCAAAAACTTTGTAGGTCACAATTTGTTCATCACTCACAAATTGATAGGTCACATATTTTTCAAATTTTATAAGTCACAACTTATTTTATGGTCACAATTCAAAAATTTTATAGGTCAAAAATTTTTTATCAGTCACAAATCTAAAATTTTATAGGTCACAAATTATTTTATTGGTCACGGATCAAAAAAATTATATATTATAGGTCACGTGTTTTCAAATTTGTTAGTTACGGTTTCTTTTTTTAGTTACAAATTATCAATTTTAAAGTTACAGTTCAATAGTCAGGACAAAGACACCAACAAGAACTACCACTGTCGTTGACCCCACCACAACACTGCCTAGTCAGATCCACCATTGCCGCCGTCGCCATCTTACCATCACCACCAACAGCTCCATCACCATATATATAACCACTGTCATTGGCAAAACAACCACAATCACCACCATTTTCGACCACCACTTCACAGACCAACCACATCGCACCACATACATCAATCACCACCGCAATGTCAATCACTACAACTCAAAAATGAGGAAAAAAATAATGGATATGCACTCTCGAGTCCTGAACTGTTGCTAATGACAGATAATTAATCTGCACACCCAAAAATTCAAATTATCGCTGCGACGGAGCCAACGTTCAAATCGCGCAACACTCACGTCAAGCAGGTTGCTGTAGCGACGCAGCAGCGATGACCATCTTGAGCAGTAGTTCGGCGTCTTTGCAACTATCGTGACGTTGTTGCTTCGGAGCGACGTCGCCTTAGAGAGGTGGTGGTGTCGTCTTTGCAACAATCCGGCGGTGGGTGTTGCGTTTCATACCGGTGACGGCGGCTACAGTGGCTGGGGAGGTAGGCGTAGGGGAGAGAGAAGGAGAAGATACGGTTTGGCCTTTTGGGGGGGGGGGGGGATAAATTAGGGTTATGATAAAAATTGTTTAATTAATATTTAATATATAAATATGAAATATCTGATTTTTGAAATATTAAACTTTACACCTGATTTTAGAATGTTGAATACTTAAAGTAGGAATTTGTGTAATGGAAAAAAAATTATAAACACCTTACATATTCAAAATATTTCATTTTATACTACTAAACTAATTTATAAACTGAAAATACTACATAACCCAATTGAAAATACCAAATTTACTTTATCAGAAACTTTCCATATTTTCTTATGTAACTGAAAACTTTGAACCACAAATCAAGACGGCTGTAATTAGATTAAAGATGATGAATGTGTGGGAATTCATATTCAAATATTGCATATGTGATAATATAACATCAAGAATGGTAGATTGCTGAATCATCCTCAGTCTCCGATAAAAAAACCAATTCCGGCATATTTTCATTATTTGAAATATCAATATTTGTAGTGTCACCTTCATCAAATTGGCTGTTGAATTACGACTGGACGATCTCAATTTACAATTTTATAGGTGATGTGTTCGTTATCATACTTCCGTATATTTTCAGTATCATGTCTGATGTACTCTGACCAGTGAAAATGTAATTAGCATCGTCAGTTGTATGTTTCATTTTTTGATTCTTGACAACATCTGCATTGAAATACATCCCATGAAAAGAAATTGATATGTATCTTGTTAAAAAATTGTATTATTTGAGCTATATGTTTCGGGGGTCCTCGTTTCATCCTAATTTTCTACCGTTGCATTATGATCATTTCTCCAGATTTTTTTTTTTTTTTTTTTGTAAAAAATCAATATTTGGCTACCTGAATGAAATTGGGTCCTTATGATTACCAAAAAGAACATCATCTGTATTTCTATTATGGATTATGATTTAATTCAATCAAAATGCCTATATCCAAGAGACAACAAGACAAGCCAAAGAAGACGAGGAGAAGATCATGGGCGGAGATGTCGTAATCAACAAAATGTGCAAGGTGCAGCAGCACAGGACACAATAGGAGAACGTTCAAACAACTTCAATCTTTGAATAACATATGAAAGCGGAAATAGGTTCGAAAGTTTAGTGGAATCACAAATTTGACTAGAAATGTACACATGCATTTATCGAACACCATAATGTTATATTCCAGGAGCCTCAGCTTCTTTTTTAAGGAATGAAGTTAATTTATTGATTCTTCCCCTGGTGCTATGGCCAATGATTAGTTGTTCTCATCATGTGCAAACGTTGAATCATATGTACATAGTTAATGCGGGTTGTTGATTCAAATATTTGTTTAACTGGATGAAATGCTTTCTCGATCCAAGGCCAACTTAAAAATACATGTAGAACTTTCTAGAATTTTGCGGTCGAAAGAAAATATTCTCTTATTAACCGTTAACGACCCTACAATTTCTAATCGCCAAATTCTTGAATACTTCGTTGCATAAAAAAATGTTTGTGAGAAGGTTTTTCTAATTAATTTAAGGGCATGTTTGATAGGTGACTTTTTCTAGGGAAAATGGAAACCATTTTTCATTTCCCACTTTTAATAGTGTTTGATAGGACTTTTTTTGACTAGAAAACATTTTGCCATTGGCCAGTTTTCTTTACTTCCAACTGCTCACGTGAAATTTTTTTTTTATTTTTTATTTTTTTACTTTTTCGCAATGGAAACAAATTTCATAACCAATTGTAAAAAAAAATTTCACTTTCATGGACAATTTCCATAGAAAACGAAGTCAAACGAACACTAAACTTTGATTAAAAAAATGATTTTTTAGGAAACAATTTTTTTTTTACTTTTTGGCAATGGGTAAAAGTTTTATAACCAATTGTGGAAAAAAAAAATATCACTTTAATGGACAATTTCCATGTAAAATAAAGTCAAACGAATAGAAAATTTAAAAATTTTTCTGGTGGAAAATTATACCAATCAAACACACTTGAAATCATTTTCTCAGCAAAACATTTTCTAGGCAAATCTTTTCCCTGTAAAACATTTTCTTTCCACCCATTTTCCACCCTTACAATCAAATGCACCCTAAGTGTATCGATTTCATGCTTACAAGACATGATTTAAATTACCCGCATTACGCGTTTTTTCACCATCGAACATTTTCTTGTACGATTTTTTTCCCATCTTATATTTTCATGAGGATGTATTCCTTTTCAAATTTTTACGACTAATTTCATAAACGATATTTGCATGGTACATGCGTGATTCTAGGTGGGTTGGGTGTGTGATATGGCTTATTTGGTGGAGTAATGTTAGCTTATATATTGATTAACTTTGAAGCGTGAAGTAATATTTTAGTTATTAATTTTACTTTATAAATTACAGTATTCTTGGATTAAAAAAAGATGAAAAGTAAAAACTGAATGTTTTTTTTTCTTTGGGTGAAATTTCCTCTTATGTTTAACCCACGGCCCAACTCCAATATCACGTATCGAACCGCATCGAAACTGTAGGAACAAAATCGCTACTTTAAATTGGCGTTTTCAATTGTGTATATACACACCTAGATCTGTAACTGCTGAAATAGGATAATCGAAAGTAAAGGAAAAATGTCAATACTGTGGGAGAAGAGCGAGACATGGAGGTGGATGGTGAGGAAGACCAGGGATTCGAAGCCCTTTTTCTTCGCATTCGCCACGGTGTGCGGCATCGTTCCGGGGGTTATAGGCTTCTGCGTTATGCAATTCACCAGCTCCGGCAACCCTGACCTCGAAGCCAAGCTCCGCCAATCTGCGCGCCCGGAATCTCTAGTGAGTTCTGCTCCTCACCGAACCCTAACTTTCATTCTGAAGAATTAGGATCCCCTTCTCCCCTGCCTGTGTTGAACTTTTGAAAATTTTAGTGTTAATCCTTGAAGTTACATATATTGCAGAAGAATCCACACTCGCAAACATTTGACATTAGACTAATATTTACTTATTATATTTCTATGCATAGAGTTAGATTCTATTTGCAAAATACTGTCTATGCACTCTGAAGGAGCCAATGCACCCGTTTCAAATGGTCTATTATCCGACTATAAAAATGAATTATTCCAATGTCAGTGTTATAATTCTTAATATATCTATATTAATATAATTTTGATAGCTTAAGGTAACGGTGTCTTTGAGAACTGATAAATGGTTTTATTATTACTAGCTTGCTTGTCTCTGTTTCTGTCAATTGGAGCAAGGCATATCCATAATTGTGTATTGAAGTCTGAAGAGATCACTCTTCTGAAATTGTAGAAAAGCTTCTGAATAGGATGTGTTGTTTGATTCAACAATGAAATTACAGGTGCGATTAAATGTAGAGAACTGCAGAAAGATATAAAAGCGTGCATAACTAAATTGCAAGCTGGATGATTATCATTTATGTGAAGAGAAAAATGAATCAGTAAACTACCACTAATTTTCAACTTTTGAAGAAACCAGTCCCGGGGCACTAAATTATTTAACAAAATTTATATATAGAAATTATCTAACGTTTACGAGTCTATGGTTAATTTACTTGTTCATGATTTCATCTCCTTACCCCCTTCTTAAGGAGACTGAATAGTGGCTTAAGTTCTTGACCATATGGAAAGAGATAGGGTTACTTAAACTGTGTAATTTCGTCGAGTTTGACCAGATAAAGGTTGATATGTTTGCAGTGGTGCATTCTGATTAAGGTGTTAAAAGTTAATATTGTTACTCGAATGAAGTAACGTTGTTTTGTTCAAGAATTTTGTACAAAACTGTTAAAAATATAGCATCCTGTATTTAATTTCCATGGAACTTTGGCATTGGGAACCATGATTGTTTACAAAATACATAATTGTTTTTATTTACCCTGTAGTCTATTTTTGAATCTTCCTCGTCTTATATTTAGTCCTGGACAGTATTCATGTTGAATTCGAGTGTTGTCTGAAATAATTGCTTCGGATTGTTCATTAGATGATGGGTAAAGTTAACAAAGAGCGGCTTGGGGAATACCTTGGGGAACTGAAGAGAAAAGAGGACACCAATGACAGATATGTTGCTGCTCTGAGGGGGGAGACATTGACTAGAAAGCCTTATGTGAGAATTCAACCAATCCCAGAGCAAAGTGGTTCCAAAGTTCAAAAGGAACAGAAGTAGACTGTATGCGAGCTTTTGTTCCAGCTAGATCTTGATTTCGTTTAGGGAAAGAGGAGTTAGCTGTGTTAAACTTTCAGTTTGGACTCGAACTATTTGCTTGGGTATTTCTAATGTGCATTCCTCTAAATTGGGTATTGTGACAAAAATAAACAATGTCAGATTGATTGTTCAGATGTCGAATTTTACATACGTATGTTTGTCAAAGGAAGCTCATTTTTTGTTAGACATTATACTTGAATAGACTACCATCTGAATGAACCCCATCTGTAGTAACTCTTCCTGCTTATAGTCTTAATTTTTTTGCTTGTACTTCTCAAATGAAAATATAATTTTGGCGAGATAGAGAAGCATAATCATCAGCCTCTGTGAACATAGATTTGATATCATCTGTTTGAAGATCGAAGCTGTGCTGTCCAGCGAGGCGCCAAGTCTCGTCACTGCTTTCCACCTATCGTGTATGTGAATTATTTTTGATTGAGAAGCCACTCTCCCAAATGATGCCATACTCCCTCCAGCTACGAGTTTACCGTGGATGTTGTATAGCAGCAGCAACAATTGACTTGATTTTGTTCAAACTTGTATGGTTAATCCTCGAAATAGAGGGGCAACCTCTATTTTGCTTCCATGCCTTCTGGTGTGTACTAAAAATGTGCAGTCGCACGATCATTATGCATTCGGGAGGATGCTTTTAACTCAATGCTCCAGTCTGGGATTGAAAAATCATTTTTTTTCATGAGTATACTTCAAAGGTGTACGATTCATCAAGATTGGAAGCCGTTTTTAAAAATCAGTTATCTTTGAAGAGTTGCGCGACTTTTGCGCTAATGAATGACTTGGTGTTTATGTGAATCATGCTGCTGCTGGAAATGTGATTTCAACGGTGGGATCGAAAGAAGATGTTGACATGTTTTCGATGTTAAGATCTCTTATGTCATGTATTTAAGCCCTTAATTTAAGACCGAGGTGTGCACATCCGTTGGTGGATAACTGAATTTCAAATATTACCACTTCTTGGTCATCGAGATTAGTCAAAAGCGGCATCTGATTTGTTGATTGATTGATTTATTTATTAAGAGAGATAAATATTCAAAATGAAGAGGAACACCCATAAATGCTACTTTTGAGCTTATGGCGTGTTTGATATGCATTATTTTCCGTTGAAAATGGAAAATGATTTTCGTTTCCACCCATTTTGCTTGTTTGATGGACAATTTTTTCTAGGGATATTTTTTTCTTTTTGGCAACCTCAAGCGCCTGTTTTCACCAATTTTGTGGAATTGATTTATGGTGGGAAATCTGATTACACCTTTGTTTTCTCTTTTCTCTTTTTTTTTTTTGGTAATGGAAACAAATTTCATAACCAATTGTAAAAAAAAAATCACTTTAATTGATAATTTCCATGTAAAACAAAGTCAAACGAATACTAAACTTTGATAAATTTTTTTTTTTTTTTTATTTTTTGCAATGGAAACAAATTTTATAACCAATTGTGGAAAAAATTATCACTTTAATGTACAATTTTCATGTAAAACAAAATCAAAAGAATACAAAAAGATCAAAAAATTTAAAAAATTTCGGGTGAAAAATTATATCAATCAAACACACTTAATTAACAATTCCCTGAAACATAAGTTCTAGACAATTACTTTCTCTGGAATTTATTTTTTTTCCACCAATTTTCCACAATTACAATCAAATGGACCCTTAGTCTAAAATGTTATTAGTTTTGACGGGCATTACTCGAATCAAATCTCAACTTTAGGAAGTTTGGAAGAATATCTCGGTGTAGGACTACAATCAGTAGGTCGTGTTCAACATTGTTCAAACGCATTTATCCTTTGATGTACGAGCAAAAAATACGTGATTTATCGGATTTTGAAACATGATTCTTTTTAATTTGAATATTTAAATACTTAGGGTTGAAATTAAAATTAAAAAACTTGTCTCTTAGAAAAACGGGACAATGTCATTTATTAGTGAAATTCGAAAGGTTGCACTATCCTCTCGCACCACGCTTAACTTTTGCCATTGGTCTAAGAATAACCTTTGGCTTCTCCATCCTTAAAAAATATTTTTATTACTACACTTTATTTTCTCTTTAATATTAATATCGAGATCAAAAATTACGCGGTCAGACTCTCCCTGACCTTTTGAATGTTCCTTATTTTGGAGCAAAAAAATGGGTAAAAATGTGCCTACAATTAATCATCGAACCGTAAATTCCAACAATGAACACCATTCAATTTGGACTGGACATGGAACATTGTAAATACTCTTAACATCCGGCATTAAATATTTAATGATGACACTCTTTGCTATCTTTGAACTGTGCTGTGTGTACAGAACACAACATACAAAATGGATACAAAACGCTCATAGCGAGGGGATGATTTTTTTTTTCCCAATACTTGTACTCACATGGGGCCCACCCCATGTGAGTGTTCGGGCAATTTTACGTAAGCTTGTTTTCTGTACAAATGGAAATTTCCGCTATTTTTACTCAATCGAACACTTGATACGTCATATTATTTAATAAAGTTTAGGTACATCTTACCGCAACAAAAACAATTCAAAACTATGCTCAAACTTTATCATAGGAAAATTTTATTCTTTCTAAAAGAAGTCGCCGTATTAAATTCCCTCGAGAAAAATAAATGACGACGAGCTAGGAAATATCAACGAAGAAAAGGACACACAAGAGTAAGTGATTGAATTGGTTAGAACACATGCATTTCACCTGCTCTCGAGGTTAGGCGACGTATGAAGAGAATGCGATATTCGTGACAACGTGATTAAGCATTGTTGTGGAATCTTAAATACGACATTTGCTATTTATTAGGTAAGCATCAAGATTGCATTTTGCATGTGATACTCGTAATACTGTATGTGAATTTGTGCAAATTTAAATATGACCTTTGCTATTTATTAAGTAAGCATTACGATTGAACTGAATGTTTCGTTGATTAGATTGTGTTACTGCTCTTGATATGTACGTTGAGTTGGCTTTTTATTGCATTGCATGGAGTCGCGGCCTTCAATATTTATTGATGAAATCGCTCATGACCTAAATCGTTGAGTTATTTTATATTAGTTATGTCTTCTTTATCATATTGCTCATTTATGTCCACTGGCATAATATTATTCAATGGATTTAAAGTACGCTTATTTCTACGGCAACAAAACCATACCGACTCTTCTAAAAGAAATTGTCTAAGTAAATTACTTTTAGCTCACGACAGAGATTTTTTGAGAATAAATTTTGTAGGAAGTGTTCTTTTTTTCGAGAAAAAATATGTAATTAAAAGTTACAAATTCATGTTCAATTTTATTTTAGAATGATGTTATATGTACATCTTGCATGACATCATGGTTTACAATCTCTTTATGTGGAGGAAATTTTTGTACTGAGATGATGAATGAACTTAAAATTAACACCATTTTTTATATCCATTCTTCTAAGAGGGAATTGTAAAAAATGTCCACTTTTACATAGTCATTTGCAAAAATGTCCAAAATTTCTTCAATATCCATCTTACTATAATATAGATCAAAATGCCCTCATTAACAATTTTAAATTCCACAATGGAAAACACAATTATTTATGTAATTAAAAATTGTATCGGCCAATGATAACTTGACACATCACATATACTACTTATTTTAAATTTTTGCCAGAATTCTGAAATGAATGAATCCTGTACGTGTGTGTATTTTTTCCCTCCTCCAATCTTTCAATTATTTCCATTCATTTCAAATTCCTGTATGTTTTCTGTTAAAAAACATTGTACTCATAGCAGTGCTCTTTTAAAAAGGTACCATATCAATCATGTATTAAATACTCACTTCTCCCTATAAGTGGGTAAATAAAACATTTATGAAATGTCGAGAAGTACACTTAAAATGTCAAGAATATTATAAAATGTAGAGAACTCTCATGTTCAAAACGAAATATCTTTCTAAACAAATGAAGTGTCCAATGTCGATAACAACTTTTAAAATATCGAAAATGTCATGAAATGTCAGAAATAACAACTATAAAAAATAACTTATCAAAAAATAAGATTTCAAAGAAAAATTACCTTCTACTGAGAATTGTGGAAAACCTAATCAACTGCAAATTTAGATGAGATTAAATTTTTCGAAATGAAATTATATGATATTCTTATGAATTGAAAGCATATAATTTTTTTTTTTTAGTGTTAAATGACTTTTTTACTTCATCATCTTTTTTTTTCCCCCTAAATTATCGGTCAATGCCTAATAGATAATAAAAACAAATGAATTCATTACATATTAGCAAGCATTAATGTAGCTTCTCATGAAGCTACCCGCCTTCTCGCAATTCGTGACAAATTGAAAAAAATTGCTTCGTTTTTCATTCAGAGTATAATAGACAATTGAAAAATGCTATTCATCCGCAGTGGGGATGCATCCCCAATCTATGTGGATGTAAATGATTGGTTAAATGATATGTGAAATTAAATGACTTATTTAATTTCACCTATCATTTAATGCCACATGGATTGGGGATGCATTTCCAGTGGGGATGAATAGCATTTCTCTAGACAATTTGGTACCAAATTTGACTATTTTTACAAGAGTTATCAAAATCAGTCATTTTTCAATCGATAACCATGAAATTGGTCATTTTTGTAAATTCCCCTTCTTCTAAAATACATTATTCTATTTCTTATTTTTAACCACACATTTTTTAATAAAATAATAATGTACGCAAATCCAAAATTTTTCCTATTTTTTAACCACACATTTTCATGAAAACATTATTTCAAATGCATTTTTGGGAGAATAATGTGGCTCAAACAAGGTGTAAGAGTGTAGATATTATCACGAGGAAAAGTGTAACCAATAAGTTTAAGTGTGTATTTAGTGGGGATTAGTGGTGGCAAATGAGTCGAGCGGCTCGTCGGCTCGCCCGCTGGGCTCGTACTGTTCACGCCCACGAGCCGCTCGAGCTCGAGCACGAGCCGAGCGGGCTCATGGGCTAGACGAGCCGAGCCCGCTCGGC